TCCACAGCTTATTAGCTCACAGATAACAGATGTACCATTTCAGCTTTTAATGAACACCTTGACGCTACTTTCAGCTCTAAAACAGTGTTGTTCTTAGACTCGTCCGAGCCGTTCTCTAGAACCGAACCACACAGCTGATAGATTAGAAAGCTGCACTTTTCATGCCAACAGTCAGTTCACGTATTAACACAGACTCCGTCACATTTAACTCACGCCTCTTCAAACATTCGTACGGCCACGAAATGTCCAAATGGCGGATATCGGGTCACGAGGAGCTCTTTAGAGACCTGTTACGAGCCACCAGAAATGTAGTGAGATAGGTCGGTTAGCTTCGCTTAGCTTCGGAGCTCCACTACACGTTATAATATCTGGACTAGTTCAAGTACCTGATATTATACTTAATTTAAACGGGTTCTCTCTTTTTCGAGCTACTTGACAGATATGTGACAGAGATACTGTGTGGGAGATGGTTTAATCAGTGACGTGAGACGTTAAGTTTCTTTGACCCATCAAAATGAATGTGGTCATTTATTAACAGAATCAAAATTTAACATCAAACATTGTACACGTGATTATTCTGATTGTACGCAATAACACATTTTAATTAATGAGCTTTACAATGAGAAACCATACGGCCATGGTATCTCACTGATAGAAGATAGAAGAGTTTTAAAGATGGGAAATGAGGGAGTTTAAATGGAGAGAAAAGATGTGTGAGGGAAAATGTGTCGACGAAGAACGGCACCTTCCTTTCGAACCCAGCTCTACCTCGGTACACTTCGGTAGTGGAAATCGACTCTTTACCTGTAGAAGATGTCTCCACTGGTACGGAGTTCCATTTAACGCTACCTTTCCAGCGTCTCCGTAGGAACAGCTGAGAATCGTCCGAAGTAGTGACGGTACCTCGTTCAACAGCAGCTCACCTCACGGGTGGACTCACATGAGCTGTGAGTCCGTCAGAGGTTCCACTCAGATGTGGAAGATTCCATAATCCCCACGAGACTCGGAAGAACTTCGGATCATGTCTGGAACTTCTTGTTCTCTCCAGCAACTTTTCTGTTCGGTTCTGCTCTCCGAACTGAACTGCTCTCCTCAGAACTAGGAAGTGTCGCCATTTAAAGAGTTCTGTTTCCGGTTCATTTGGGAAGTCCTGATTGGCTGAAAGAGCCAATCAGGGGTGTGGTTTTAGTGACGTAAGAGGTCACTAGAAGTCAGAAAAACAGTGAGATGTTTTGGAACAGACAGGAAAATGTTTTTGAAACAGACAGAGAAATGTTTAGGCGAGATGGGAGGAAACAGGTGCCAGCTTCTCTATTTACGTCTGAGAGGATTTAAAAACATGACAGTTCGTTCCAACAAACTTGTTTGCGTTTGTCTCCGACTTTTGACCGATATCACAACTTGCTCATTTCAGACAGAAGATCAAGAAAATGAATAATTACTCTGTAACAGACATTAACTAGATTTCTACTTTGAATGAGGATTAAAAATCATTAATACTGTTTCACAGTTGATTTAAAATAAGTAGTTCACTTCAACATTTAAAAATGATTTGAACTAAACACACTTTTGATTATCAAGATATTGTAAAATAGTAATGATAATAAAAAAGAGAGTGTTCTTTCAATTGATCAGTGCAGGACACACTTAGAAAGTCTCTGGATGAACTTAATTTTGTGTTTCTGGACTCAAATCAATGAAATAACAGTTCTTGTCCCAGGAAGGCCCTCAGGGCCAGATTTTGACCTTAGGCTTAGTTCACTACACCTGTTATATTCACCCGTGTTTGACTTCCTCCCCGTTAGGTTGTAGCACACTACTAGGAAGGTACACTTATGCCCCTTTTCCATTAGTACCTGTAGTACCGGTACAGCACGGCTCTACTCTACTCGGTACGGTACAGGTTGTGTTTCCATTATGCTTTCAGTACTGGTTCCAGTGGGCGGGGTTCAATTTGACGTCACCACCTCTCACCAGCTGGTGGCGCTGAGACGCAGAAACTGTTTTCAGTACAGGTTGAGAATTTGTTA